GGGGGGGGGGGGGGAACACGGGACTGTGAACGCCAAGCAACTACCTCGAGGACTCCGAAGTCTGTCGGGAGCTCTCAACTCGCGCTAGTAGGAGCAACAACGCCTGAATCTGCACACGGGGTGCAGGGAGTAAAGTGAATACTCCAACTCAGTGAGTAATAATCATAAATAAATGATTGAGAGATATGAAAACACGTAAGGCACATTACAGGCTATAATGAAGCAGTAAAAGCCAGTAAAAATAGTAAATTAGTAAGGATAAATAAAAGTCATTTTAGTTCAACTTAAACTTCATGAAAGCCTTTTCAACAATTAAGCAGGTAAATGAAAAGCAAATAAGAAATATAAACACTTAAAGGTTCGCCCCTCGGGCTCAATATCAACAAATCCGCCCCTCGGACAATATATCAGAACAATACTAGCCCCTCGAGATATAACTCACATCACAATGGGTACCCGCACTCACTGGAGGTGTGCAGACTCATGGAGGGCCCCCTTACGGCCCAAGCGCAATATCAAGCCATCTCGTGGCATCATCACTAGGCTCTCGGCCTCATATCAACAAGCCATCTCGTGGCGTACAAATCTCAGGCCATCGGCCTCATAATCATAATCAGTGTTTCCTCACAACATAGGCCCTCGGCCTTACTCAGTCAGAATCTCACAGTCACTCGGGCAACAGTAAAATATAGTGCTCAGCCCAAAATATCATTTAAATGTTAGAGCAGAGTAAAAATGGCTGAGTCATGAAAAACAGTAGAATATAGCATGACTGAGTTCAAGTATAAAGTCAAAACAGTGAGGAAATATCAATAAAAATCCCCTAAGGGTTCAAATAGTTAACACGAAGCCCAAATATAGCATTCAGCCCAAAACATGATGATAGCAAATGGTTTTCAGTCAAATACGCGGTAAAACAGTCATTCGGGATGGACTAAGTCACAATCCCCAATAGTGCACGACCCCACGCTCGTCATCTAGCGTGTGCGTCACCTCAATATAGCACAACGATGTGCAATCCGGGGTTTCATACCCTCAGGCATCATTTACAATCATTACTCACCTCAATCCGGTCCAAACTCTAGCCTGCGACGCTTTTGCCCCTCGAATAGGCCTCCACTCGCGTCGAATCTATCCAAAATCAGAATCACGCCGTCAAAATATGCTAAGGGAACGAAGCCCAAGCAAAAATAATCAATTTATAACATAAATCCCGAAATTACTAAAACCCGACCCCCGAGCCCACGTCTCGAAATTCGATAAAATTTACATCAATAGATTCTTCATCTCCCCACGAGTTCATACATATCAAAAGTACAAAAATCCAACCACAAATGATCCCTCAAATCCTCAAGTCTAGGTTTCCAATACCAAGCCCTAGTTTCCCCAAACTTTTGATCCTTAAATTCCATTAATTACAAGTCTAATCTGTGAAATAATACCATTGAAACGAGTTTTAGGTCCAAAATCCTTACCTCAATGAAGTTCCCTTGAAATCCTTCTTCAAAATTGTCCAAAAAGCTCTCAAGCCGACTTAGAAATAATGGAATAGCTCAAAAATCGCGAAGGAAACAATTTATACTTTCTGGCCCACGGATTTCGCATCTGCGGCCAATTACCCGCTTCTGCGGTACCGCTTTTGCGGTCAACGGACCACTTCTGCGGTCATCACTTAAACGACCATTTTTCGCTTTTGCGATCCTTTTTCCTGCACCTGTGCTATCACAGATGCGGCTCCTCAGCCACTTCTGCGGCCCCAGCCTTTCTAGGCCCTTTTTCGCTTCTGCGGTCCTTTTCATCGCATCTGCGGCATCACACCTGCGGTCCCCAATCCGCAGGTGCGGAAACAACAGAAGCAGCAAATCTGCAGCTCCACCAAAATTCCAAACTTCTCCGTCGACTTGGTGAACTCCTATCGCGATGAATTAAACTCCGTTCCATGCCCCGCTTCTTGTCAGCCATTTTCTCACTTAGTTACCAACTTCCAATTCAAGTGCCACCAAGTAAATAGATGTTGAGGTGGAGTAAGGGGGCGGAGCTTGAAGAGCGATGCGAGTCGCTGGAAGTAGGGTACGCCTATTCAACATAAACTAAGGTGTTGGGTAGATCGCAGATTGCCGGGTATGAATTCGATTCTAAGTCGGAGAATGCCCATGAATAGGGTCTTATTACAGAATCCGCAGTTTTGAAAGTAGCATTGTGTGACTAGGCTGCTTCGGGAGACAGTGAGGTTGTTCTACTTGGGGAGTAGCCCATCAAAGAGTCTTTCTATCTACTAAAGCATATAAAGGAAAAATCTAAGATTGAGGCGAGCTTATAGGTGTATTCGGAATCGTGGAGTGCTGGCCTATCACTCGAATTCCATTTTATAGCACGCCAACATGAGGGGGCTTCTTACAAAAGCACTCCAAGAACTCGCTTGAACTTTCAGAGAGAAGAATGGAATTCCTAGAGTTGCAGTAGTTTTGTTGTATCATTTAGGATGTGTGTGCAAACTTTTA